GATTACACATTTCAAAATGCGACCGAATAGACTTGATCTACGGCACCATAACTCTGGCTGTGGGACCACTACCAACTAAATAGTCCGCAAATCCACATATATATATACACAAACACGTATATATATATTGAATTGGATATAGTGTGTTACGAATTACTGGTATCTCTATACACTTAAAAACTACCACCACAGGATTTATTTTATCGACTTTTTCCAATCGACGTCATTGATAAAGACACCACATTACATCCTACGCTGAGTACGAGGGTAACATTTTTATTTTTTACTTTTTATCACCAAATGACATACACCAGAGCAGTAGCTTTTAAAGTGGGAGTAGTAGTACTACTATCGAGGAGCCTTAGCGTCTTAGAGCCTCAGAGACCTTTTTTTCATTATTTCACCTATATAGATTTCTTTACTCGGATACCGTTGGTATACTATACTGGTATCCCAAGTAGACTGTCACCTAGTTTTAAAGTTGCTCGGTGTCGCGGCTACTCCAAGTATAGTCTCTGTGAAAAGAAATGAAAAAAAAAAAAAAAAAAAAAAAAAAAAAAAAGTTACCCAGTACGATTCCATTGCCAGCTGAAAAACTCAAGGGAATAATTCGTTTTACGTCTAGTCGTATTTTCGCAGTGATAAATCGCGATTGCCGGCTGGTATTGCAACGCCGAGCCAGGTACTACTGCGCGTTTTCAGCCGAGAGTTCAACTCAATGTTTCTGCCTCGATGTTTTCAACACCTCGATTTAATTTTTTTATGTCTACGCCTTTTTACTCTTTTTCTTTTTATTTCACTCGACTGCCCAATTTTGTCATAAAATTCATTTGAATTCACAAAATTAATTCTCAATTTACTTTTATACAAGTATTTAGCTTTATAATTTACTCATAACAGACAATAAAAGTTATTTATTTTATTTTTAAGTTCTTTTGATCTTTTAGCATTTAAAGTTTATTTGAATTTATTATTTCATTAAATGATAATTATAAAAATAACATTACTGCTATATATAAATCAAGGATTGCGGAGATTCGGTGGTACGGTGGTTCACTCGGTGGTCACATAAGGTTCTATTCTACTTGTTTATAATTCGAAATGTTTCCGTATAATGTTAGAGTGTGGTATGTGCAATAGCTTCGGTGGCTCGGGTCGAACTCGCCAAAATTTCAACCACATCACCGGTAGAGTTGAGTAAAGAACAGTCATAGCCATAGATTCAAGCATAGAGTGGTTACTCCCTCTCTATCTACTGTCTGTATTAGTGTAGTTAGTATAGCATATATATACATACGATAAAATAGGTTTTACTCTATTCTCTATTCTCTATTCGCTATTCTCAAAGTTTTAGTTTCGACCCCGGTACTATTTCGGTTCTATTTGAGGGGTTTAGATATGTGTAGTGTACAACTTGTATAAATCTGTAGATACAGGATGATAGTAGTGTATTAGAGGAAAAACGCCTCCACAACTCTTACACTTCCTCCTTCATATATAACTTGTTGTTGTTGTTGTTGTTGTTGTTGTTGTTGCTGTTGTTGTTACAGAGTTTGTTACTACCTCTCTCTATATCTGTGTACTCTAATACTTTGAGATAACTAAACCTAATATTTATATTTAATTTTACCAAGTTTTACCATAAAACATACACCACAGCTATTTAAATATTTAAAACTAGCCATTTATTTTAATTTAAATATCAAGTATTACAATTTGATATAGTTAATTTTTCGTATTTAATTAAAAAAATTTTTTAGAATTGGTGTTAATTAAATGCACTGAAAAAGTTGCGTTTTCATTAGAATAGAAAAATAAAAAAAAAAAAAACCAAGTAGGCTAATAATAACCGGTAACAATGGTTATTACAATGGTAACAAATTAATTTTATGAATGAAAATGAGAAGCTTGGAGCGGGTGTAGAGGAAGGCCAGTGAAACGGCATTAGGGTGAATAGTGTGGTAGAGGGCAGGGGGAGGTTTTCGAGCGCGCGTGGTGTGTTTTATATTCTATAGCTGATTTTAGGTGTATTCACCTCCGGCAACGCGTCGTTAATTGGAAAATAACAATTATCATTGTATACGGTATTTCCAGCCATCCGGTCAGTCGACAGTTCTCAATAATTTTCGGGTATACAATTTTCCTGTTATATGAAAAATAACTCTATATATATATATTATAATATATTAGGTAATAATATACTGGTATCATTTATCGTATAATTGTTATATTGGTTAATAGAATAAAAATTTTTTGGTTCGATAAATATTGAATAGTCAATTACTTTTATTTGATCTATTATTTGTGAAATTCGTGATTTGATTTTAAATTATCGAAAATGTGATTGTCAATTTCTTATTGGTTAAAATGTCCAGTTAGATATTAAAAAGAGAAAAAAAATAATGTATGACTTTGATTGATACATATACAATATAGATATATAAAGGAAAGGTATACAGATGTAGAATATATAGCAAAGGCAGAATTGAAAATATATATTCAATAGTCAAAGAGACACAAAATGCCAAAGTATTTCAACATACATATATCTATATGTATATTGTATATGAATGAAATATGATAAATGCATACAAACGAATGCTTTTCACAATACGATGCTATCATCTGCAGATGATATATAACCACCACCACCATGGGCCTGGACTTTTTGAATATCTAACTTTTTTTTCTCTTATTTTCCTTTTTCTTTTACTTTCGTTTCCTTTTTATTTTTTATTTTATGCATACCCGTATATAAAAGTTTATACATCAGAAAGACGGTATACGTTATACCATTGACATTTTCTGCAGTTAAAAATTTTTGTTTAAAAGATAAATAATATCTTATAATTTTAGCTTCAATAAAAATAACGCAATAGGCATATTGAACTAGTTTCACCTTTTTTTTTTTTTTTTTTTTTCTCGTCAATTGTTAATAATAAATAATAATATATGCTATGTATAATATAAGATGTGCGTATGAGCTTGAAATAGCATCTGAAACCGGTTATGTCTTTTTTATCTAACTGAGTGTGTAAAAGTACCACTATAGTATACACACCGTCCGTCTACCTTAGGTATATATTATATTATATCAACTGAGAGTTTCTTATACTTATCCGGTCACTGCTCGCGTATATTATATTATGTATATACATAAATTTATAGTAGTGGATCGTGGATCGGATCCGGGTAGCTAGACGTAGACGTTATGTGCCCGCAGGACTTTAATTTAAACCAACTTCTTATCCATCAGCTTTCAAACACTATATACACTAGTGTCTTTTAATTTTTTTTTTATATCATTCAATATATTAATAGATTTCCATTTAACTACCAACTAATAATAATGGAGGGATACCTGCATATAAACGGTGAATTAGTAAAAAATAAATCGATTGTCGTATCGGTGAATATTTAAATTATAAATGAATTATCATAGAATTTTTATGTGAATTTGGTAGTCATTTACATGTTGGGTTTTTATTTAAAGTTTGCCAGTGCTGCAGTCTCAGTAAAAGCACATTCGTCTCGGAAGAAGCTTTTCCAACCAAGCCTCGTGCAGTATTCACGGCACTTGTACGACGTCGAGCCTCCCTCGAGCAATAAAGGATGCTTCTATCTCCAGTTTCCAACTTTATCTATTCGTCTTAGCTTCTACATACTATATACTACATACACCTTATATTACAGCAACGCTTTTTGTGCTGTCAAAATATTAACATGTCACGTGACTGTTTTTACACCACAGAAAACAATTTTCCCGCATTTCATACAACAATAAAAAAAAAAAACAACAAAAAAACTATCATTGTTATTTTAATTAATAAATTTTTATATTAAAAATATACAACAATAGTTAAAAAAATAAAACAACTTGATGATCTGATTGAATTAATTATTGTTTTACCACCCACGCAGATCCCTTCGGAATATTTCTTTTTGCAGTGTTTGTAGTGGCTATTAGTGTGTGTGTGTGTGTGTGTGTAATTCTGTACATATACATATAGGTATGAATGGTAATATAACTAGTACTTGGCGCCCCGAGCGTCGACATCTCGTGAAATAATATGAATACCGGTTTATATATATTATTATATTATAAAAGAATATTAAAGTATAAAAGGATAAGAGGCTAAAAATTTTTCAAGTTGCAAAGGCGGTGGAAATGACGTCATTTTATATTTATAGATATAGATACATGTAGTACAGAGCACATGTAGAATTAATAACTCCACAAATAAAGTTTATTAATGCTTGTGTATTAGTCTCTTGGTATTGTCGTGAGTTTAACAGTGTACGGTATATTTATATATATTTACTTAGTTGTCTTTTTAAAAATTAGTTGACTTGCCGGTTTAACCGGTAAATTTTCTGAATACTAAAAACTATTACGTATATTAATTCAATTGAAAGTATTTTAATAATAATAATGATAATATCACACAAAAATATGTTATTTAAAATTATATCCGATTAGATAAACATTATAATAATCCATACATAAGATACTTATGTGGATTGCAAAGATGTACAGTAGAAATTTAGTAATAAACGAGTGGTTGTGAAGTTTGATAGTGAGGTGGTTAATTGCCTGGGTGCCTGGGTGCCTGGGAAAGTCAACGGACGTGACCGAATCACAACACGGATTCGTAGTCGTGGTCTAAACTATACATGTCTATACACTTGTTACCTAACTCGGCCTATTTGTTAGTTTATTCACTTGGTATATCTATTTCACTTTAATATTTCCCCTTTTACTCTTTCTCTGTAAACTATGTTTTATCGCCTAAAATGTGGAACTGGATAACTGGATATCGAGCTGCGTCATCCAGCCTCAAAATTTATTATCATTGCTTTACTTTGTCTCTCTAAAAGGCCATTATTCTTCAATGACCGTTTAGTTGAGTTTAGTTTAGTTTAGTTTATTTAGTTTAGCTTAGTTACCGAGTATCGTTTAATTGAAACAATATATTATTGAAAAAAAAAAAAAAGGATAACTAACCTTGATCATCGATTGTAAAATATCCAATTCCATCGCCACCACGAATACTGTAACTAATTCGTGAATCTTGACCCGGTGAATCGAGATCTTTAGCACTAACAGTTGTAACTATTGTACCAACTGGTTGATTTTCTGCTACACTAGTTGAAACAATATAATCATCAAAAACAGGAGGATGAATATTTTCATTAACATCAACAACTTCAATAATAAGCATAGTTTCTGACGAAAGTGATGGCTCACCACGATCTTTAGCTATTATCGTTATTGTGTGAACTTGACGCTGTTCAAAATCTAAATTTTTAATAGTTCTAACAGTACCGGAAAGTAAATCAACTTTAAAGTAACCTTCACTGGTGTCCATAGTATCTGACAATAAATATTCAATTTCACCACCGGGGCCTTCATCTGGATCAGTGGCTTCAATAATAGCGACAACAGTTGACACTGGAATATCCTCACGTACTTTAACAGAGTAACTTGATAATGGAAATTTAGGTGGATTGTCATTTATATCATCAACTGTAATACGAACAAGAGCATCTGAATAAAGTGATGATGTTTGTAAATTATCCATATTATTATTATTATTATTACCACCACCATTATCACTGGCACGTATTTTTAATTCGTATATTTCTTGTCTTTCACGATCTAATTTACCATAAACACTCAATACTCCAGTTATTGAATCAACACGAAAATCATTTGTTTCAGTAATTAATGAATAGCTTATTTTAGAATTTTCACCTAAATCTTTATCTGTTGCATTAGCACGAAATACAATTGTTCCATTTAATGCATTTTCCGATATTTTAAAGCTTGACAAAGGTTTTTCAAATTTAGGAGGATTGTCATTAACATCTAAAATAATAATTGGTAAAATTTTGGATGATGATTTTTGTGGTTTACCTAAATCATAAACAGTTATATTAAGAAAATATTCATTTTCTCTTTCACGATCGAGATAACCAATAACATTTAAATCACCAGTTTGTTGATTTATTGAAAATACAGAATCACGATCACCACTTGTTATACCAAATATTAATTTACCATTGTAATCAAGATCACGATCTCTAGCGATTATACGAACTAATGTAGTACCCAATTTAACAGATTCATTAACCTTTATTTCTGTTGGAAAATCAATAAATTCTGGTGTATGAACATTACCACCATAACGACGTGATTTAAGTGGTATATTATTATTGTTGTTATTAACACCACCACTGGAAGTATTATCGCCATTATTAATATTCAATAATGGTTCATTATTTTTTTCAGCTAATTCAATAGCGTCAGTAAGCCGTTTTGCAACACCTGTATCATGACAATTAAACAGACCAACTTTTGTTTTAGTTGCAATTGCTGCTGCTGTTGGTGTTTTTGTTATTATTTCACTGTCAATTATTTTATCTTGAGAACCATAATTTGTTTTAACGTTTATTAATTGTATACGTACAACATTTATATCAGCAAAATGTGTACCATCAGTAGCTGTTATATTAACATTTATTTCATTATCAGTTATTTCAGTAAAATCACAAATAGAAGACAATACACCAGAAACAGAATCTAATGAAAAGCATGATTCTTGATTTGATGATTCAATACGATAATTAATAATATTACCAGCATCAAGGTCAATGGCTGATACTGTTAAAATTTCAGAGCCAATAGGTATAAAACGTGATAGACGTACAATACAATTTATTTTTTCAAATTGCGGTCTATTGTCATTTATATCACGTAGTTTAACACGTAATTGCATTTCTGTTTGACGTCGATAGGGTAATCCCCAATCACTAGCACGTACTGATAATATATATTCACGTTTCATTGTTTCATAATCTAATACCTGTTTTGTTTTTATTAAACCGGTAAATGGATCTATTTCAAATGGTATTTTTTCAATATTATCTATTGAATATGATATATAAGCATTTTCACCAGAATCTTTATCACGTGCTGTTAATTTAATAACATTACTACCAATTGGTTTATTTTCATCTATTTCAATAATCATATCTGAATTTTCAAATATTGGATCATTATCATTGGCATCTAATATATTTATTTTAACTTTAGCTGATGATTGTTTACGTGTACCAGTATTACCCTGATCAACAGCTGAAACAGTTAATGTATAAAGTGTTTTTTTTTCAGCGTCAAGTGGTACTGCTGTATAAAGCATACCAGTGTCACCATTTATAGTAAATTCACCACCTTCATTACCACCAACTATTTCTAATGACACTAATGAATTTTTACCCTCATCAGCATCTGTTACTTTTAATTTAATAACTGGCGTATTAATAGGTGATATTTCAGATATATCTACTTGATATAATTCATTACTAAAAACAGGTGCATTGTCATTACTGTCAGATAAATGAACAGGTACTATTTTATGGCTAAATCTCTGTGGTATACCTTTATCAATAGCCTTTAATGAAAGATTATAATCTTGTCTTGCTCCTTCCCGGTCCATAGCATGTAAAATTTCAATAGTATATTCACCAGGCATGTGGTCAGATTTCACCCTAAAGTGACCATCTGGATCACCGCCAACAATATCCAAGCTGGCTATTTCACCGTGTATACCTTCATCTCGGTCAACGACACGTATTATGGCGTAGACATCGGCATTTGAATTCTCAACAATATCTGGTAAATTATTTACGTAAATTTCTGGCGCATACAAGTTTACTTGCTGTACCCTTATGGTAACCCTAGCAGTAACCCTTGACCGACTCATCGTGCCGACCCCACGGTCCAGGGTACCTCGATCTTTAGCAACAACAACTAAATCGTGAATGGCACGTTCTACGTATCTGTAAAATAGAAACAAAACAAAACAAAACAATATAAATATATTTACATTACTTGTTCTATTAAAGGTTATATGTTGAGTTAAAATGTATATTTATAATAAGTACATGTAATAACAATTATTATTATTATTATTATTATCAATTCAATAAAAATATCAACAGTATTTTTTGATAATACTAACCTAAGTGGCCTGGTAAGTGTAATGACCCCAGTGACAGGATGAACAGCAAATTGTTCAGTCTCTTCAGCAAAGCTGTAGTATATCTCTCCATTTATACCCAAATCAGCGTCTTCAGCTACAACTTTTAGGATACTTTTATGCAACGGTGTATCCTCGGTAACTGCCTCTATATATTCATTAGGTACAAACAGGGGATTTAGGTCATTGGTGTCCAATACACTAACAATCACTGTTGTTTCGGTTTCTTGGTGAACAATTGTTGCTCCTGAAGCTCCTAAAATTCCTAAACCACTTAAACCCCCTAAAGCTTTTAGAGCTTCTCCTGTTTTATTATTGTTATTACTAATACTACTACTACTACTACTACTACTACTACTTTTGCCCGGTGAATTTCGCCACGTCCAAGTTGCCCGAATTTGTAATACATAGCGATCTTTACGCTCTCGATTTAATACCACAACATTACCGGTACGAGTTCTTATTAACAGAAAACAAAAGTCACCAACTGTAAGCTCTTCAGCCTTAAATAATTTATCACGATCGCCACCGACAATACGATATTTAATATCTATCTGATGCCGTTTTATCGATGATACTGATGATAAAGAGTAAGGTAATTTTATACCCATTTTTTCATTATCTGATGAAGAAACATATGTTTTACCAATTGAATTTTCTGGTATTGTTACATTATATTGAATCTTACTAAATTTTAAATAATTTGTTTCATTATTTATATTTTGATGATTTTTATTACTTTTATTTTTATGATTTTTGTGAAATATCGAACCATGATTAATTGTTTCTATTCTGGTTATCGGGTTATCTCCCTCTAACTTTTGACCATTTGAGTCTAGCGAATTGATATGACCACCGGAAGATGCTGAGCCAACGGTAGCCGCTATAAACCACATCCACATCCACATCCATGACCAGATGGACTGGCCACCCTGATTATGCTTCTTCCACATGTTGCTAGCTCATCCTTCCTCTCCCACTGCACATCCACTACTCATCAAACTTATTCTTTTGCTATTGTTACTATTGTTGTTATTCCTGTTATACTGATAATTATAATAATAATAATAATAATTATTATTATTATTTGTTTCACCTGGAACATAAAAAAAACATACATTTTTGTTAATAAATTTTATTAGTTTTTTTTACTAAAATAAAAATTAATTAGACCTCAAATGAATTTAAGAGATTTACAGTGTAAATCGTATTGAAATTATCTAGACGATAAATTTATTTAGATTTAGGTTTATTATTGCTGTCGATAATTACAAACGGTATTAGAATAATTGCTGTGTGTTTTATTGCAATCCTAAATTGCTCTCTGCCGCTTTCTCATCTCTTCACCACCTCGAAATCCTTTGTTCTTACCAATCAACCAATAGTATACATTTTAGTCTTACGAAACTCTTTGATAGTTGGAATTTCAATAGGACTTTCAAACAAATTCCTTTGTTAGATTGTTAGGGATTGTCGGTAAACACTCAAACGTAATATACCGTTTAACTAAAACAAGTTAGTGTAATTGTTAAAAGTAATTACACACATATTGGATAGTCAATATTAAAAATAATTTATCAAATGCACGATTTAAAAACAATTGATTTATTAAAAGAATACTGTCTTTTCTTTGATTAAAAATTATTTATTTTTATCTTATTCTTTTAGATACTATAACCATATAAGTGGAATTGAATTGAACTCAACCGATGAAATGAAATTTATTAAAATAATTGCTTGTCTGAATTCAATTGTTGAGCTTTTAAAAAGTTAGATGAATTTTCTTGTTCTATTGTCCAACAAGAATGTCAATTTCAATCGTTTTCACTTAAATAAATTTCATTTTATACAATGATCTGTCATTATATTACTGTGTTTAAAAAAAAAAATTCAACTCACATTTAATATTATCTTATAATAAAAGACACTCCAATTTACACTCATTTATTCTATGATATTGTTTCAATTAATAAAATTTACGCTTGAACAAAAAATTATAATATGACAGAAAGATGGAAAGTGAAGAAAAAAAAAAAAAAAAAAAAATGGATCTTGAAACTAGTGTAACGGTACGGGATATTCAAGTGAAAAAATAATTATACAGAGTGATGGCCATATTATGATCACCTTGCGGTAGCTTTTGAACCTCTAACCACCATTAAATTTTTTGAGACTGCGCAACTCGAGCACACCTGTTGAAGACAGACTTGCTGAGTATAAGAATGAAATATATGTTTATAAATATGATTATGATATAAGATAGCAAGAGGAGCAGTAGCATGTAGCATGTAGCATGCAGTATCCAGCCGAACAAGCCTTGCCCTAAAAGATATAATATGCTTGTTAAGGTATCTAAGGTGAGTCAACAAATTTATTTCTCTGCTGACTCTATCCTCTTCATATGTTATTTTATAATATACATATACATATGTACAAGTATAGGTGTGTTCCGTGAATACAATTCGTTTAATTTTAACGACTTGCTATTTTTCAATGACCTTATTTAAATTTTTTTTTTTTAACAGAGATAACAAATCATCCTATGAAATAATTATAGTAAAAGTACATTTAGAAAATAAATCACGGATATATTCATGGATAATTTTTTTTATTTTTTCTACTCAACTCAGCTTTTTAAACGCAATGAGCAGCATAACATGTACAGACGATGAGACGCAGCTGCCTTTGTGTGTTCTGAATATTTAACCAGCTTGCGAGACATACACAATACTCGGTATTGAAGGACCTACTACACGTTTTTTAAGAACCTTGCCCCCCCCTCCCCCCAGGGCCCGAAGGTCTCTGCTGATTTGGGGTACATATTTTATCAATTTAAACTATACATACAATCAATCATATATAACTGTTGATTCATTCATATTAATTTTATACTTTTAAAATATATACTTAAAATTATTTTCAAACTCTTTTTTATTCACTTTTACTATTATTATTAACAACAATAATAAATGTGAATAATTATTCCAATCAGTAATATTAACTTTTGTATATAACTGAATAACTGATGATTAAAATATAATTGTTTTAATTGTAGGGGCTTTAATTTAACAGACTAATTTACGGATGAATAAGGGTATACGTATTCATTAATTTTTCATTAGTTTAAAGTAAAAAAAAAAAAATCATTCACATATATATGTATGTAAATATAATTTGATTCTATACAAGTTAACTAGTAAGAGCAAAGTTTGACGGTTGACCAGCAACTCTACAACTAAATGTAACTATCTCAAGCATCTAGTCTAGTGTTTACTTATCAGTCGTTGTGTATCAAGTCTATAAAATTATAAACTAGTTGGTTTAAACAGTTGTTAACTAATGTTAACTACTAAATGCAATAAATTTTATCAATAAAAGATTTATTTTTCTTTTAAAAATATTTAAAATGAATATTATTCACCCGGCATGATTGATAATTACATATACATATGTATGTTTAATTTGAAATTGTGCTCGAGTGGATCCAACGGTTAATCCAACTGGAATTGTTGTAATGGAAAACGTGAAATTAATTTTTGAAATTGAAAACATTTAATTATCAATTACAATTATCAATATTGCCTACACGACAATGGTTGCTTGATATTATATTATATTTAAACAACGGGTGAGTAATTAAAAAAGTAAAATAATAAAAAGAGAAAGAAAAAAATAGATAAAAAGGTTAAATTTGTCGATAATGTCTCAACTGTCAACCATTCTATTCAGCAATATCATGGAAAAAGAAAAAAAAAAAAAAATTAAAGTCGCGTCATCATATCACATCTCAAGTTAAATTAAATTAACTCTCACTCTCACTCTTATTCAGGTTGTGCCCCTTATAATCGTATATGTAGTGATATGTAGTATGTATACACATGCATAAGTACATACAGAACATACAGAACATACAGAACATACAGAATACAGAGACTGAGACAGAGAGTGTCTCGACATATCCACTTGTGTGGATCGGCAAACTCGGGGCCATCTACACTAATACATACAGTTATACGATAGTTGGTACTCTTCTCTCTCTACGAGGTTAATCGCTACTTGACCCAATTTTATTCACATGCCTTAATGTACCACATAGAACAATGCTTCTCAGGCGTGATATTATAATGAAAACTCCTAATTAATCCCTTTTATCTTCATATAACTATATATCATTATGATTTTTATAATAACTATTAAATTTACTGGGATAAAATAAATACTTTTCACAACCTAACCATATGCTTTTAAATTTAATAAAATTATTATTATTATTAGTATTATTATTGTTTTTCTTCATTATAATAAAAAATGTAAAATAGTTGAGGAGGAATCAAGTGTTTGAATATGAGAATACGAATACAAATGGGCTCCTGAAGAAAAAGAAATTCCAGAATCAAGCTCATTTCCCTTGGTTGTTATATCCAGTTGACAGTATACGCCGAGGCACGACACCACGAGTACTAACTAAATACAAGAACAAGAACCTAGAAATAAAATGAGGAGAACTGCGGGTTGGATGGTATTATATCTAACCGTTTAATATCGTATCGTATGGTATCGTATCGGGTCAACGTTCTCCTCTTTAAGTGCATTGCCTTAGGGATATCAATGTGAATGTAGATGGTACACACTCATCAGTATGTACTATAGTATACACTATACCATTAAAATCAAAGTGTAGTACTATGTACAGTCTATGCCAACCATACCGGTTAGGTACAACAGTGCAACTACATTACTAACATTACAACAGTCTTGTGTACTTTATTGTATCGTATTCTCAAGTAGAGGTAAAGCAGAGACAGTTGTATAAGAGTAAAGTCAAGAGCGTCGTGATATGAGCGTTGAGAGGAACAACAGAATACATAAATAAAAATAAAATAAAATATATAGGTAAAATAGGGTTAATCGACGTACTGTGTGTGTGTGTGCAGTCGTTCAACTATAAAAAGATGTAACTGGAGGTACCAGGCATCTCATTCGTAAAATTAAAAGCAAAAGTATAAGTTGAACATAGTTTAATTTAAAAGAGAAAAGAAGTAAAAAGTGAATTACCAAAGGAGGAAATCAAGAAAAATACCATTTATATTAAATAACAAAATTTAGTAAGATTATCATACTGAACAACATCAGTAACATCTGCTTCAATATTAATTATATCAATAATTTATAACATTATAAACAATTCTATAAAATATATTTAAAATGACACTCAATATAATAATACATATGAGAATGAGGATAGCAGGTTGGTGAATTCTAAGTTGGCAAGTTGCTAACGCGGCAAGTTGCTGTCCCTACCTGTTCCTCTTACTGCTTGGTGCTGTTGGTGTGTTGTTCATCTTGAAGAAAGTAGTTGATGATGATGATGATGATGATGATGATAAAATAAAACTGGTTTGACGAGAGTCCGGATTTTCGTTTTACTTTTATTTTTATTTATATTAAACCTTTTTTTCGGTTATTTTTGTTTTATTCTTTGTCTTGTTCATGTTTTTGGTCTTGTCTTTCGTCTACGTCGGGGTAAACAGCCAGCTCAAGTTCAGCCAGCAGGTACCTGATCAAGTTTTCACAATATAACATTTTTTATGTTATTCTAGATAATAAGATTTTAAACTTTGTTCCATCATCACTTATTTTTTTAACGATAAAAAATAAACTATTTTAATATTATTATTATTATTATTATTCTTAATGAGTTATATACTCTATAAAGTTACTGTATAGAGACAATAATTAATTTAGTTAAATGACAAGAGAAGATAAATTTTCATCGTGATTTCATTATTATAGATATTTAATTCAATTAGTCAAATCGATTTCGCTAATTGAATATCAACCGTATATATTAATAATTCATCATATTTCATATCGTCATATCGTCCAATTTAATTTGATGCAGTATACT